CTAAGCTTAGCACAGCTAATTGCGAAATCTTAACCAATTGATGTATATATATATATATATGGTACATACTTGTATTCTGGGTAGAACGTATTCCGTAGAGCGCTCAATTCATTTAATTGAAGAGCATTGACTATTAATAATCACAGGAGTTCAGGCTTCAGGAGTAATCATTGATCGTTTATTGCGACGGTATATATAGGGTACGTTTTTCACAAATCCGGCCACATATATAGTTTGCACAAAGGAGAATAGACTACATATGTTGATTTGAATCCTTTATTGACCTGACACGTTTCGGCTTACGCCTTCCTCAGGGATCTAAACTGCGTTGGGTATTACAGTTAATTATATTACGTGTTAAAGGTAATTTCATCCGTAAATTGCTTAATTGTATAGTATAATTGTGTATGTACATCAATTACGAATTTGCGGTAATTAGCGACGCTTACAACGTATGTTAAAAACATTTTGTACGTGTACCCAGAACTTTGTAAAGATCACTGTTGCAACTATATTGACTGTTATATATACCCAGAATATATATATATATCTACCTGGAGTTTTGAAAACAGGGTTGCCTGAAATCTTAAGTCAAGTCCAGCACATTGCAGGCAATCTTTCAAAACTTAATTCGCTTAAAGCCCTGATACTTTTAGTGTAAAAATAACAATCTCGCTCTTCAGGACTAACCACCCTCACCTCTTAACCATGGGCTCCAAATAACTTCCTGGAATTGACAGAAATCAGTGCAAATTCCAGAAAATTTGCACGAGGGGGGCAACAGCCCGTCCCTACGGGACGGGCTGTTGCCCCCGTTGGCCCAGCTAATATTTTTTGAAGGGGGCTTCCGTCAAACTAAGTCTCATGTTGTTGCACAGACACAGGGCTATCATCTGGTATGCATTTGGGGTAGCCTGGTTAAATTCCAGGGGGGTGGGGTTGTTGTAAAGACTATGCTTTGTGCTAGAGTGCAGATTTGCTGAGTCTTTGTACCTGGGCTTACCCCTGTCTTTCAAAGCTCAATGTCTCCCTCAAATTAAGGGGGGGTTGTGTCTGGCTGGCTGTCATGTTGTTGCACAGACACAGGGCTATCATCTGGTATGCATTTGGAGTTGTTGGTTTATTAGGCGACCAGGTTTGTTTAAATAAGTTTTTTGATAGGTTTTAAGTCATTGAATTTTTGGAGATGACTCTTAAATAACTTTAGCCTTTCTTTCTTATTTTTTAAAACAGGCACACTGAGCGACTGCTTACTTTATAATTTCTCTACGGAGAGGGAGAAGAGGCCTATTATTTTCTACTGCTTGAGGACGGCTTAAAATCTGCTTATGAATGTTGATCTATTCATATACAAATTTTGAAACTTAGCTAAAGAATTTCCATTATTTTATTTTAAGTTAGATTCTTCACATTTTACCCCCCAGTCTAGGCTATTTATCATAGGCAGAGAAATGGAAAATTTCGGACTCTAAAATTTGATGTTCCTAACCGGAATCAATTATGCAGTTTTAACTTTGTTAAAACCTTTTAGTGCATCTAATATTTTCGGGAAATTAACGCTGAAGCCCTCGTATTTTTCAAAAGACTCAAAATACCGTAGGATGACCGAACTGATACACAAACGTTTATAGCGACGCTGACGATGCATTTCTAGAGATTTAGTCTGGATAGCCTAAAAAGTGTTTAAAATGTATTAGGAGGAAATTGTCGTTGGGGTTGCCCCTGCTCAAGGAGTTTATGTTATAAAAAATTATGTAAGGAAGTGATATGAGCCTTGCCTTTGTTAAAGTACCGTTGAGGTAAAATTATCTTAATATTACTTGACTGCAACAAAAATAAATAAAAATGCTGCAACGAAAGATACTTGTTATTTCTTTCTCCTTCCGTGTTTTTTTTAAGCTTCCCATTAAATTTGTGACTTAGACAGTGATGTTTAAATCTTTGTATTGCAAAAAGATTCGAACGAGCGGGAAGATAGTTTCTCACCATTTACAGGTGTTGCCTAATTTGTAGACTACAAACGTACATCAGTAAGGGGCATATGTATCGTAGTGTAATATAGAAACGTCCTTCCTGTTAAGGGGAATGATCCATATGATGTAATTATGTTCTGGCTGGCAAATTATGCAGTCGGATAAAGTGGAGTGAAGACTTTATTTAAACAGCAGATAACCTTTTTACAATAAAAACTGATTTACTTGTGGCCCTCTATTAACACACAAAAAATAAAATATAAAAATCAGATCATTCAACAATGGTAAGAGAGAGAAAAAAAGTTACAGAAATGAAAACTGTAATAATCACAATTAAAAACAAATAAGACTGTAAAAAGATCTAACTCAGTCGTATTTTTATCTTTTCTTTATTTTGGCTATTTAAACTAACTAAAAAAAGTGTCTCAGCTCCGGTTCACTGCACTTTTAAAGCCAATACTGTTACGTCATATTTCAAGGAAGCAAACCTTGCTTCACTTTCTCTGAGATGAGAGTTCTTTGAATGAGTCAGATCGCGGATCTCTTGATCTTGATTGTCGCTGCGATTTCGTAAAGATTTTAGATACTTAAGTCGGTTATTAGTCTTGTCACAAACTTGACAGGTATCGAGCCTAGATTTTCTGAAGCTAAGAACATCTTTCAACTCGGTGTTAAAGATATTTCTAAAAGTTGAAAAACTTATAACAGGTCCTTTGTTTTTTCTTTTTAACCTGGTCGTCTTGACATCAGGATGTTCACGAATATATTCCGACCACATTTTTCGTAGTGACTCATTGGACTCAAAATACTTTTTGCTGCCACTTCGCGATCTTCTATAATGAGACTCGGACGCGTCATGTGAAAGTATAAAGTCGATGACGGTCTGTTTTGTTGCAGACAAAAGTCTTCGAGGAGTGGTTTGCCCTCTTCGGTCGGGCTCTATAAATGGCCCTTCAGGGCTCATTTTTTTTTAGCAGACATTCTATTTTATGCTTTGAGATACCATAAACCTTGAGGAACGCAGTCTTGCATACTTCACCTAGCGATGGGGACTTGTATGTTATTTTTCGTTTTCCGGTTTGCGTGATCTTCACTTCCACAAGTTTTGACAGAAGATAATTTTGTTCATTGTATTGTTTCTTATAAAGCAGGTCCCTTTGCTGTCGTATGATGTGTTTTATATTACACAGACCGTGTCTCAGGAGGCATCCATTGTCACAACAGGTCAAGTTCAAATTGTGCAAACCAAAGGCAGCATTTTTGCGCCGGTTCACTCGGTTCGTCTTTGGCACGTAAACCTTCTTGAACTTGCTTCTGGAACTCAAAGTTCTCCTTCCTTTCTCTACCGAGCTTGCAAGAGGTTTACCTTGTCTAAAATATTGCCACGGATTCGAACTGTCAAAAATGTACAATAGGCGATTAACATCAACCCCACTTAAGTTCATCTCTGTTTCTTGCTGAGCAAAAGAGCCCATTGTTGAAGGAAAGGAAAATGGTTTAATCTCACCCGCGTGATCCTTATTTATTTTGTATTCTTCATGGAAGGTAGAGCTTACTAGAATTTTCTAGCATCGTGATAAAAAAGTAACTATAAAAACGTTTTCTGACGTCAATTATAACCAATCTACCACGTGTTGACAGTTTCGCTACTTATCAGTATAGTTTTTTTAAAAATAGCCTCTGTAGTCGTGTGGGATGAGAAGAGAAAAATGCATTTTTGTGTAATTTTTCCTCTTAACAGACACAAATATTACTCCATCAAAAATAAGAAAGGCACTCATTTTTTGCATAATAATGATAATACTTTATCAACTTCGCCCTTGAAACAGTCGGCCTTAAGGAAATTCAACTGCGTGATTCACGAAAAGTCTAGAATTCAGGTGTAATTTCCGTGTTGTGAAACACGTTCTACAAAATAGCTGCATTTTATGAGAAAAATCTAGAGTTTTCGCGACTTTTCATTTTTTTTAATATTGCGACAAAACAAGCAAGTGAACACACTTATAAATAATGTGCCCATCCGACCACTGACCTTTGTTAAGATCTTCGGCCCATTGAATTATTTCCGTTTCGACCGGATTGTGACCCAGTGGTGCCATTTTGCCAAGAGTGTTGGTTCTCCAAATGGACTATCATAAGTGTCTTCCGACGCCAAAAGTTTCCTCTCAAGATTCCTTTTACTTGAGAAAGTTAAGGACTAATCTTTTCGGGGTCTATTCAGCCAATGAGGATATTATGAACTGTTTTTTTTACGATGAATCCATTGGCGGAAGTGGTCCTAATGAAGTGATATCGTTACTTAACTACGTATTGGAGACACTAATAGAAAGGTACGGGACATTTCATCATTTAATACTATGGGCAGATAACTCGCCAGCACAGTTTAAACACTGCTTTTTATTTTTTTACTTGGACACCCTTGTCCAAAATGGAAGGTTTCTTCGAGTAGATCTGAAATTTCTGTTGGAAGGGCATTCCTTTTCAATATGCGATAGAAGATTCCGGTGCATTCAGCAATTCTTTAACACTAAGGAAAAAATCGAAACTCCTCAAGAATGGGCAATTTCTCTACGAAATAGCCATTTACGTAACGTCAGAAGCCACTGGGTAAGCCTTCATCAGATAATGAACTATAAATTTTACTTAAAGAACAAATACATTGCTAGAAGCGAGGACATTAACGGAGAAAAATTCGGAGTGGGAAAAATTGCGTTTATGAATTTTGGCTATGGTGAGATACCAGATCAAGAAGGAAACTTAACGCTTACCAGGCACAATGAAACCGCCTTTATCAGGTTTACAATGGATACCGTAGAAAAGCCAACGATTGTCTCTTTTGTAAAGAAGAAACAATGTGACGAATTAAATCCAGCGGATCTAGTTCCTGTGAGACAAGATTGCAGACCTGTTCGCGAAAATGTGAGACCAAATTGTATAACACTCGCCCAGAAATATTTATCTGAAAGGGCTTTACGGTTCTTCACTGCATTGGCAGTTGCTGATCAGGACAGTCATGATGCTGACTAGTAATGAATACCCACTACTTGTGTACATAGTGATAATACCAGTTACAATATCGTATAAATAACTCTTATACCCTAATTACGATACCGATGGTTTTATCGGATTGAGAGACAATAATTAGGTTCATGAACATTTTATTCACTGTATCCGTTTAGTAGTGTACACAACTCGATGTACCACAGTCCGACTGAGTAAACACTTGTAACTGCACCCTGAGACCTTTTTAAAAGGCAAACGTTGAACTAAAGGCGACTGATAATCGCACGAGCGCCCCGCTGCGGTAAAGGCTTAAGCGTGCCTTCCTCACGATCAGTTTGCTTTGGCTGTGTATACTCAATTTGATTTAACTAGAAACGAATGAGAAACTATTGCGTTTATAAAGTTCTCTGTTAGCAACGACATGTAAGGTGCATTGGCCAATGTGCAACCGTAATTTATGCACAGCTGATGAAAGAAAGGATGATATGTTTCCAAGCTAAATTATAGGTGTCCACTTTATCAAACATATTCCCTTAGCCAAATAGCAATCAGTAAGAAACTAAGGGAAACCTTATAGTTATGGGTAAATAACAGAAACATGAAGCAAAAACATCAGGACATAGGAAGCTATAGCAACGACGTCCGGCCACGGCAACGAGTAAGTCAAAAAAGCTATAGATTTATTAAGAAAAGCAAGAACTCTGCCCGTGCATCTACTTCTTTGCTGTCACTGCCCGCACAACTACGATACGTTTTATGGAGAGAATTAGAATTAACACCGCAAGATTTAAAAAAAAAAACGCCTATTCGTTTTAAAATTGACGTTTTCGCTGCTGTTGCCGCCGTCGATGCCAAAGGAAGATTTTTTAGACGTGAGTATACTTTAGCTTCAATAAAGTAAAGTAACACCTATCAGGCTAAATTAAATGTCCTGACTGGCCATAAACCTTTTAGCGTAATCTCTGTCAGCAGGGAGTTTTAGCAAGGTCCACGGCGACGGCAAAACGAGAACGTCAAAACAGCAACAAGTTTATTAAACAAAACTTCACGTTTACACGTGCAGATCACTTTTTTGCACATTTCTTTGCCATTGCTGCACGACTACGAGCCTAATTTCACGTTTTATGGAGGACGTAATAAGCGATAGGGAAATTTTCTTTGTCTTTCTAAACTTGAGTGCAGTCATTAAGAAATCAACTCCAGGGAAATTTGCCTACACTAGACATTTTCAGTGAATTGGAATTAACGCGATAAAATTTGAAAAACGCAAATTCATTTTAAAAGTGACGTTTTCGCTGCTGTAGCCGTCGTCGATGCTAAAACTCATTTCGAGCGCGCAAAGCTAGCTCGTAAAATCACTCGCGCACAATAAAACAAAACTTTACTTTTGGTCCGTAATCAAATTGCATGCATGACTGAAACGCAGCGCAAAGGAGATATTTCTGAGAACATTTTACTGAATTACAAATGTCAACATAAAAATCAATTTTTGGCATCGATAGACAAAAAAAGGTTAAGGCAATCGCCTGTTTGGTAATGCCGGTTAGCCCAAATTGACAAAAAAGGGGGATGAAAAAAGCACCGCATTTATTGTAATAACGTCACGATAAATTGTAAATTTAGTAATGATGGCAATAGATGGACTAAGTGGAATCCAATTCGGTCTGTAATGATGCGAGTGATCAACAAAAAATCGGAGGACCGTGCAGCGGGAGTGATTACTTAAATCTCGATTATGATTACAGACCGTATTGGGTTGCATGAACGTTTGTTATAACTTAATCATAACTATAACAAAATGTGTGATATTTTAGGATTGTTCAAAATTAAAACGCAAGAACTTCCGAGAGCTTTTCGCTTGCAGTGAGAAAAAAAAAAAGCATTTGAGTGCACGATTGCAATGGTGCGTGCTGTCCAACTAGTAGGCATAACGCGTACTGGCCTATAAGTGGTGAAATCAGCACAGTTGATGGCCAATCAGATTTGAGAATTTTACTATAGTTATGATTAAGAAAAAAGGGAAAGAATAAAGAAGAAAAAGAAACGGTAAAAGCTAGTGTGGAAGAGTTTGACTGTTTGTATGATATTCCCAATCTGCGTCGCCGTAATTCCAGAGGAATTCCACAGATTGTGGAATATCATGCAAAGCAACGAAAAACACTCTTGCTCGCGACGATGTATCATCAACATAGGGCTTTAAATTTGCGTTTTGCCTTGAATGGTTGATAGTTGCCGCCAAGTTTAGCTCGGCATGAATATCACCATAGTAAGGATCAATTCTGAAAGTAAATAATAAATAACGTTTTAGTGTGTACAACTTAACACAAACATTAAGAATATCCCACATATATTCATAACATACTGGGTAACTGTTGGTTCTCGCGAGTAAGTTGAAACAGAAAGATAGTTCAAAGAAATCAAAAGGCGACAAGTCAAGTCAAAACAACGGTCACACGTGTTTATATAACGTCGTCTTGGAGGTAGTAAAAGTATTTGTAAAAATGCGCTTAAGCCTTTAACTTACGCGATGCTTTGGCCGCGGTGATCTATGACCATGAGGGTACATGTCTTTCCTACTCTCGCGTACTCCGCCTCGCGTTTCGTTGCCTCAGTCATCGATATAAGCTCCCCCGTGTACTCTGTCACCACCTGTCCTCTTTCCACGTCTTTTTTGGCGAAGGCGCATTTTCCCGCGCCTCGCGGGTCACTTGGAACGTCGTGCACCTGCGCAACAAAAGTGCGAATACTGATCAGCTATTAACATTTCATTAAACCAGAAGAAAAGATATTCATCAGGAAAGGAACGAAAGAGCCTCAAGTAAACACTCACCTCGATTGGAGGAACTGGTGGAGGATGCCTGGCCATGAATACGGCGATGTTTCTTAACATCTGTTCACCTCCAAATTCATGGCCAAGCATACGACGGGCGCGGTGGAGTTTAATATTGAAGTATCCTCTACTGTTGTTTTGTACGCCGTAGGTGACATTTCCATTGTTTGAGAAAGAAAAGGTGGAAATTTCCTTTTTTAGTTGCTGTTGACATAAAAATAAACGATTTTAGATCATTTCACCTTCAATGCCTTGAGATGTTTTCTTTTTCAACTTTTGAACTTACTCGATTAAAAGCACTTCTCTTCATTAAGAACTTTGTTTGGCCGTGAACACTCTCGTCGTCGGTCCAAATTGAAACTGCCGTTTCATAGGCGGAAAAAAGCTCCGATGTGGAAACAAAGTTTCCTTCCTCTGTAGTGACACATTGATTTAAAAATTTTGACAAAAGAGGACATTTTGCCGCTCTTTTGTGCCGCAGCATCACCCGTCTAACATTCGCGTAGGACATGTTGAATAACTTTGTGGCAACTGGATAAGGAGGTAAGAGCTATTTTCCCACAGGGTAAAATTAGAGAAAGTATAGAAGTGTGGCAGAGTGTGGGAATGCTTATAAAAGCTGCACTTCTATTTGTGGAATGTGTCAATCTCGCTACTTCACTGAATGTCGATCTGGTGTTTGCAGGCAAGTTTTCAAAATATTTGTAGTTGTTTTTCAAGACTTTTATTATTTCATTAAAAAGAAAAATATATGAGACATACAGACGTTTCAATAGACCCCTTTAGCTCAATGTATTGATGATATGTTTTTGCTTTTCAAACGCCATGTGACTTGAAGTATGTTATGATAATTTATGCGTAGATTTGCTCATGATTATGCATAAATTTTGATACTATATCACATGACCTTCATTGCAACTGGAATATGAGCCCGCATTTCCAGGCAGGGTGGCTACATTTGCCGCGGGTCTGAAAAACACATATACAACTAGTTTGAAAATGTGCCTGCAAACACCATCCGTGTATCAAAACACTTCGGATCTCTTCTCAGCCTTTGATTCTTTTATAACGGGATGAGAACCCGAGACCACAGGAGCCAGAAACAAATGAACTTGAAACGTTATCCAGGCTATCGCTTGAAAGGAATCAATGTGACCTAAGTCCGCGTTTTATAAAAGAAGGCTATTAATTCTTTTCTGGATTTCTGGATTCAGGTAGGGAACATAAACTTTGAAGATATTGACACTGGGGCAATATTTCCGTACTGTTCTGACAACACCTTACGTTTATTGTGAATGCAGCAATTTTCTACTTTACGAAGTTCAGTATTGCATGAAGAGTCAAAACATCATGAAACATGTATGCATAATCATAAATAAGGTTTTTAATATTCTTGGATAGTAACCACCTGACAAGGCGACCAGGCTTGAAAACAATTCAATACATAAAAATGAAAATACAGTTGAGTTCCCTGAGGAGAGAAATGCATTTGTTTTTATCATCCAACATGGCCGCCGTGATGTCAGGTGCATTAAAACCAATAATGGGACTGTTTGGTGATCTTGCTTACTCAAAGAACATAACACTTGTTTACTGACCTTGTTTATAGAAAACAAACTGTTTCGCCTCTAACACCATACAGAGAAAATACAATTTCATTCTCTTTTGCCAGGAGGTCATGATTATTTAGGACTTACAGTTATAGATTTTCTTTATATTACTGTTTACACTTGGTGACCGATTTGGGGAGTGGGGGATTGGGCTTTGGAATTTGTGAGCATCACAATATCACAATTTGCGTACTAAATTTAAAGACAAGAGAGAAGGTGTGAGTCTACCATAATCAGTCTTCCTAACGTTGGCAATGTCACAATGCCACATAGGAACATTCCAGTCGGTGTGCGCACTACGATTGCGATGCATTGTGGATTCAAAATTTTCAAGATGGCGGCGAAGGTCGAGAAATTTCGCAGGTTATATGCTTTATTTTTCAATAGATACAGTTCTTTCCTTAGATCGTTTTTCTCGATTTCATAAGCTAATAATTGTTTAGATTTTTTCTGTGAAGAAAAACAAATCAATATTCTTCATTTCAATCTAAAACGTGGAGCCCGAAGATTCCTGCTGTAAGAGCATGAAATTTGAACCCAGTTTTTAAGAAGCTATAATTTCCATTATATTGCCCGTCGAAAGT